CCTTATAGTGATTGACGGTGACACTAAAGGTCACATGTCAGTCTGGTCCATCTTTGTGGGTCCAGTGGATGTAGAGCCTTAGATACATCTTGTATGTAAGATGTGCTAACCCATCCCTGACCTAAGGTTCAGGTGGTGCGGTGGAGCGGTGGCAATGCCTTACTGTTTTGCCTGGGGATGAAACGACGTGAAGGAGTTGACCACGGCCTCTTGGTTGGATTGATCAGATGTTGAGTGGTACCACATACTCAGAAGTCCACATAGTTTAGGGCTGGGAACTGGGCATCTAACCTGAAGGTCCTGCTCTCCATAAGTTTGCAAAACTATTGTGCTTGCATCAGACTCCACAAATGGGCCTGTGGTGAGCAACTGGCACTAGAAGAGGAAGCTGGCTAAGCTGTTCCCTGGACTGGGAGCACCCACCTTGTATCCTTGGCATATCCTGGTACCAGGAACCCAAGACCAGGTGATTCTGAGCACCCTGAAGATCATTGCTCAGGGCTGTATTTGCTGCTGTGTTTAGGGAGGAGGGGAGATCTCCGATACGAAGCTATCTGAAGGTTCTCCAAGCTTTATAACACCCCTTTGTTAATGCTAAGCAATTGGCAGCCCGTGCAGCTGCACACCTGTCATGTCCCTCTTTTGTCACAGCCACTGTGTGGGCGTGCGTGTGTTCTGGGTCCTGTGAGCAGAGGCGCTAGAAAGCCAGTTTCTGACCCAGAGTCTAGGTGGTAACAGCAGAGTGAAATAAGTCCTGAACTGACAGCTGGGAGAAGGCCCAGCTTGGCCCCTTATCACATTTGCTGATCAGTGTCCTGGGGCCGCAGCAGTGTTGATGGTGGTCCCAGGCCAGTACAGTGCTTCAGTCTGATGAGAAGGAAAACAGTCCCTACATGCCGTGAGTGCATCCAGCTGCCTGGATGTGGCTGAAGGGGGATAATGTTGTTTATAGCAGCTGAGTCTCTGTTCGTGGAAACTTCAGGAAAGACTAAACCAATAAACCAAACCTTGCCATACTTTTCCAGTCAAACATGTGACCTCAAGCATGTAGGAGGGACCTCAGGCATATAGCTGTCCCAGCAACTGGGTCCCTCAGCATCTTGCCTTCTCTACCCACTATAATTATTGACCACAAATATTTTTGTGCATTGAAGTAAAAATAAAAACAAACAAACAAGCAAAAAACCAGGGTTGGGGTGAGCACCTGAGGAACCCAGCCTTGCTGCAGGCCCCCTTTTCCTGAGGGGCAGAAGGCACCAGGGCTCTGTGCCTACACCGACCTGTGTCCTAGAGGAAGGCAGAGCAGAGAAACGGAGGCCTGAGATGAGAAGGTGGGCAGGTAGAGGACCCACTCTCACTCACTCTGGCTTACACGTGACATCACCTCTTTAATGAATTTGAGGCTGGAAAGGCAAGTGCGATGCTGTGGGGTGAGGGAAGGTGGAGGTGGAAGTCAGGAGAGCCAAAACCACATCCTGCCCTACTCTCCCACTCTGAAACTAGCGCAGCAGGACAGTGGCTGTGTGGCTCCAGGGTACAGAAGCCTGTGATGCTCCAGTCTACTGGCTAGCTATGTGCCTGGGCTTTGAGAAGCCTCACTCCAGCAGAGCCTGGTGGCACCGGCCTGTAGTCCAAGGCAGAGGCCTAGGCTCAACACGGCCCCAGTGTGTGTGCATGGATGGCGGGGGGGGGGGGTTAAAGATGCAGCCAACATTACTGAACACGGCATGTTCAGGCCATGTAGATTCTGCAAAGCCATTTAAGAGGTGGGGGGCTTATGTTTTTCTACTTTATTCTATGGAACTGAGACGGAATCTAGGCCCTTGCATTTGCTAGGCTAGGACTCTAGCGCTGAGCCACACCCTCATCCCCTCACTGGGGTCTGGGAAAGTGCTCTACCACTGAGGTAAAACCCAACCCTGTGAGTGTGTGTGTGTGTGTATGTGTGTGTGCGCGCACACACGCATGCTGGAGCACACAGAGGTCAGAGGAATACATCAGATGTCGGTCCTTACCTTCCATCTCAAGACAAGATCTTTTTCTCTTGTAAGATTTTGTTACATAGTTATGAGTATGTGTGTATCTGTGTGAGTGTAGGTGCCAGCAAAGGCCAGAAGACATCTAATTCCTGGGAACTGGAGTTACAGACGGTCGTGAGCCGCCATGTGGGTGCTGAGTATGGAAACTAGGTCCTCTGGAGGAGCAGTCCCTGATAGTGCTCTAACTGCTGAGCCGTCTCTCCAGCCCCTCAACATGGCGTTTGGAGACAGGGTCCTAACTGTGTAGCTCAGGCTGGCCTCTGACTCGTAATCCTCCACCTCCCCTTCCTTTCCAGTGCTTGGACCACAAGCCAGTGGTTCACCTTTACACGGGAAAACAGGTCCAGAGTGCTTAGCGAGGGGTCACTGAGGTGTGCCTGTCAGCACTCCCCACAGAGGGAAACCTTGACCAGTCACCAAATGACAGCACACACCACTCTGAGTCACTTGTCTGGGTGAGGAGCAAAGCAGACAGGGCTCCACCCTCACGGAACTGACGTTCTGCCTGGACAGACTTTCTCTGCCAGCCTGCACAAGTTGTGGGCCCAACCATCGCTGCTCACCCCACCTCACCCCTCGTGATACACAAAGGTCCCCACCTGCCCTCCTCACCTCTCCCCTCTTATCGCCCACTCTGACTTCCTTGAAGATCCTAGGATGGTGTTCCTGCCTCAAGGCCTTTGGACCTCTGAGCCCTTGTACAACACCCTTCCTATCTTCCTTTAATCTTTTTTTTTTTTTGAGACAGGGTTTCTCTGTGTAGCCCTGGCTGTCCTAGAACTCTCTCTGTAGACCAGGCTAGCCTCGAACTCAGAGATTCACTTGCCTCTTGCCTGTGTTACTGTACCTGGCCCAATTTACTTTTATTTACAAAATTGTTATTTTGACAGCGGATTTAACCTAGGACCACACATGTGCTAGGCAGCGGCTTGACCCCTAAGATAGGCCTACCTTCACCATCGCCCTTTTCTCCTTTGGGTCAGGGTCTCCCTAGGGTGTCAGACTGGCCAGGAACACACTCTCTAGTCCAGGCAGGCCTTGCTTGTTTGTAGTCTTGAAACTGCAGAACAAAGCAACAGGCTGGCACATCTGTGTGGCTTCCACTCGGGATCATCCTGTTACACGGCAAGTCTGGGGCAGCCCGGACCTGCTGGAGACCCAGCCTCAAAACAGCCACCACCACCAGCTCCTGTGAGGCTCTCACTCGGAAATCAGCCCTCCCCAGCACACCAAAGGAGTGGCCCCTCTGCTCGGCTGTACCTCTCTGTGGGAAGAGCACTCTGGGGTTCTGGACACAGAGTCCACTTATGGTTAAGATCAGCTTCGGCTCTATACTGAGTTCCAGGCCAGATAAATCCCCGTTTCAAAAAAAAAGGTGGGTGGTACTAGATAGAGGAACGGCTCAGTAGTTAAGAGCACTGGCTTCTCTTCCAGAGGCCATGGGTGGTTCATAACTGTAACTCCAGCTCCAGGGGACCTGACACTGTCTTCTGGCCTCTGCAGGCATCAGGCATACATAGGCAAAACAGCCATATGCAGCCAGGCGGTGGTGGCGCACTCGGAGGCAGAGGCAGGTGGATCTCTGTGAGTTCAAGACCGGCCTGGTCTACAGAGTGAGTTCCAGGACAGCCAGGACTCTATTATTACACAGAGAAATCCTGTCTCAAAAAACCAAAGGAAAAAAAGATTTCAAATACTGGTAAGCACCAAGCATGTGCTGGAATAATGGTGCCCGCAGCAACCAGGGCAAGCTTTTCTGCAAACTGACATCTAGGCAGGTATCTGGGGTGGCACATGCGCATTATGATCCCCGAAGCAGCCACCTGTTCCTGCTGAGGCTCACTTCTGCAGACACGGGCAGGCGTTTGTTTTTAGTATTTTTCTATTGTGGTTATTTTATTTTGTGGCACGCACCTGGATGTGTACCTGTGGAAGTTCCAGGATAACTTGCAGGCGCCAGCTCTCTCCTCCATGTGGTTCCTGGTGATTGAACTCAGCTCTTTAGCCTTGGCACCTCACCGGTAGAGCCCTGGCTGTTATGGAACTCTCTCTATAGACCAGGCTGGCCTCGAGCCCAGATATCTGCCTGCCTCTGCCTTCCGAGTGCTGGGATTAAAGGTGTGCGCCACCACACTGCACTGTCTATAGCAGGACTTCAAATCCTCCTGAGCAGAATTACAGTCCTGTACCACTGTGTCCAGCTTGGAGCTAATGTTTGTGTGCAAGAGTTAGATGGTAAAGCCCAGTCCCAAATGTGGTGCTTTGGAAGTGGCACTGTAGAAGGTAACGGGATCTTGAGAGTGTGATTCCCGCCATTAGGAAGAGACATGAAAAGCCGGAACAACTCTTGCAGAGAGCAGGCCATCTTCATACTTGGAGTCCCTCTCGACCTATGCCTGGCATCGAGCTCCCAGCCTCAACAACTAGAAGGTAGGTTACAGTTTAAGCACTCACCTGCTGTGTTTGTTCTAACAGCCCAAATTAAGACACCTGCCCTTACCAAAGCAGCACAAGACATTTCACAAGCACTCACTCTGCCAGACACCAGTCTAGGAATTTAACCCATCTGCCTGGTCTTCACCATCGCCCCAGGGTGCAGCTTTGCCGAGGCCTCTCTCCTGGCTGCCACCAGGTTGCTCATCTTGGGCTCCAAATCCCTCAGACACTTTTCTCAGGCCAGAGGAGCCAGGAACCCGAGCTCCCGCTCCCAGGATGTACTGCACGTAATCTTTAACTTTGTTCAGTGTACATGGACTCTTTCCAAACAAGCAGCCCCACGAAGTGGTCAATTCACGACAGGTTGAGACCTTTTCCCCAGAAAACTACAGCCACCCCCACCTTCATTTCCCACAGAGGAAAGTCTGGGTGGGGCTGGGAGCGGTGGTGCAATGAGTCAGGACCACGGGGCTGAGGGGTACAAAGGTCCGGAGGTGGGACTTTGTAGAATTCCTGAGATGGGTGGGTCGAGCGGCCCCACCTCCTGCCCCAGGCACTGCCTAAGCCTTCGGTTCCGGGTACTCCAGAGTGACCATCACCATGGAGTTCGACCTGTCCGCAGGTAAGCTCCCCGGGAGTGGTGGATTTGCGGTGTGAGGTGGGGTTCAGACTCAAACCCAGGGACCCCAACGAAGGGACTCTCCCAGTTGCCTGCTTAACCCATCTTAACTTCTCTCTCCTCTGTAGCCGTGGGCACTGGTTCTAAGAAACCAGGAGGCGCAGGTCAAGTGGGAAACCCCAAGCACTGTCCCCTTAAAGCTCCGGGCCAGCCAGGGGCAGGCGCTGCTCACAAACCAAGGGTGAGTCACCTCACCACCAGCATTGTGTCCCCGGCCGGTCCCAGGATGGGGACTGGCTTCTGTCCCGGGTGTTCGGCCAGATCTCAACTTTCCAGCTTGGGTTGGAAGCTGCATATGCAAGCTTACTGGTCACCTCCCTGTCCTTTACTGTCACCCCTGTCCCTTATTGTCCCCCACCTTACTGTCCCTTACTGTCCCCACCACCTCCCATCTAGCATGACCACGGCAGCTCCTCCGATTCCAGCAGTAGCAGCAGCTCCAGCGACTCAGAGGCGGAGGGAAAGGTAAGAGGCTACCCTTCTCCCTGCATGTTCTCACGCACCCCTGACACAGAGCCCGGCCATAGTCAGAGTCAGGTTAGTCAGAGTCAGGTTGGGATCCTCCTCGCTGCAGAGGGTGGAGCATGTCCAGTTCTGCTTCCAACCATGCCACCTCTTCTCTCTCCCCGACCCATCGTCCTCGGGCCTCCAGAAGCACACCGCTGGCTGCAAGAAGCATGAACGCTCCCCGGACAAGGCCAAGAAACCCAAGGTGAAGAAGGAAAAGAAAAAGAAGGAGAAGAAGGCCCCCCACTGACTTATTAAAGCTTGCAGCCCGCCCCGCTCCCCAGCGCCCCCTGCCGGTCAGGAGCGGAGGCCGGGCTGAGCCCATCAGGTTTATTGTTGCGGTGTGCAGCTGGAGACGAGAGCACCTTGGCTGGGAGGGAGGGGCGCGGGCCTGGAGAGCCGGGCCCGGGTTGGGCGAGATGAATGTGGCAGCTGGAGGCCAGGCTGGCCGCTCACCGTACCAGGTGGAAGGTGAGCCAGTACATGAGCAGCGGCTGCGCGGCCGCCACCGCCATGGTCAGGTACATGCGCAGCTGGTTCCGCGCCCCGCGCACCGGCACCCCTTCGGCAGCCGCCTGGGCCAGGATCTTGAGCCGCAGCGTCCGGATCTGCGGAGCAAGGGGGGTGGGGGAGAGATGGGAAAGATGGGTCAGCGTGGGCCCCCCTGTCCCTCTGCGGCCTCCAGCTTGCACTCCTAGAAGAGTCTGCTAAATTACTACCTCCCCAGGCCTATGAGCGAACCACCGTGGGTTCCAGAGGCAAAGGCCAGGCAGGCTCTGTAGGATGTAGACCAGGGAGCAGCAAGACTGTAGATCCCTGGCCTGGAGGGCGTGGTCTAGCAGCTTCTGCCTACCCTGACACAGTACCCTCCCTCATGCAACGCAAGCCCTCACCCTTGCTAGGCCAGTGCCCCACCACTGAATACACCCCAGCCCCAGAAGGCACGTTTTCAAGGCAAGCTAGAAGAGCTCTTTTCTTTTTGTTTTGTTCATGCTCAAACGCGTTCTCTTTTTAGAGGGGTAGACGGCAGGATCTTGATGTGTAGCCCTGGCTGGCCTGGAACTCTCTATGTAGACCAGTTGGCCTCAAACTTGTGTAGATCCACCTGCCTCAATCTCCCGAGTGCTGGAATTACAGCCCCAAGTCACGGCTCCTGCCCCCCATGCCCAGCCCTGAGACTATAAGGGTATACCTCACTCCTGCCCCCATGCCCAGCCCTGAGACTATAAGGGTATACCTCACTCCTGCCCCCATGCCCAGCCCTGAGACTATAAGGGTATACCTCACTCCTGCCCCCATGCCCAGCCCTGAGACTACAAGGGTATACCTCACTCCTGCCCCCATGCCCAGCCCTGAGACTATAAGGGTATACCTCACTCCTGCCCCCCATGCCCAGCCCTGAGACTATAAGGGTATACCTCCACTCCAGCCTGCCCCGCTTCGTTTAGTTTTTCTGAGGCAGGATTTTTCTGTGTAGCCCTGGCTATCCTGGAACACACTCTGTAGATCAGGCTGGCTTCAAACTCAAGAGATTCTCTGCCTCCCTAGTGCTGGGATTAAAGGCGTGTGCTACCTCTGCCCACTGCCCAGCTTTTTTTTTTTCTTTTTAATATGAGTCTAAGGATTTAACTCTGGTCTTCTTTACTGGCAGAACCATCTTCCCAGCTCCTTTAACTTTTAAAGGATGACAAGATTCCCACTTATGGGCCAGACCAGAGGTGCAGTCATGAGGCACCCATCTTACAAAAGAAGAAACAGAGGCTTAAGTCGGAGAAATAATTCCCCGAGTACAGCTTAGAGTCCCCACTGCCCTCAATCAGCACTGGAAGGACTGCCTTCCTCCAGGGGCATGCTGGGAGAAAGCCCAGGCTATAGACCAGAAAGAGCATCTGTACTGGGCAACCCTGGCCCCCAACTTCCTGACTGGTCCTTGCTCTTCTCAAAGGACCCACATAGGAGATCCTCTCCCCCTCCAGCCAGCCCCCAGGTTTAGGACACTCTAAGCCCTTCCCGTTCAGCACTCTGACGCTGATCCAAATTCTCTGTACGAGGATGCTCTAAAGACCCGCCCCCTTCTCCCAGGTCTGTCCAGGAGGCCTGTGGTCCATCTTGGCTGCCCCAGCCCCACTCACCATGAACACAAAGATAGACACACAGCACCAGCCAAGTACGAGGTAGTAGCCAATCTTCCCAAAGAGCAGGCCCATGAGGACCCCGCCGATCATCCTAAGAGTGGGGAGAGAGCGGGCTGAAGAAGAGGCCAAGGTCTGGGGCTGGCAGGCAGGCAGGAGCACTCACCCGACATATTTGTAGCCCAGGAAGGCCACCAGGTCAATGGTGGTGAGGTCGGTGTTGACAGTGACCAGGTAGAGACTAAGCAGGATGGCTACAACCTCCAGGGTCAGCCAGGCCAGTGCCGAGCTCGCCTGTAGTCCCAGGAGGTCTGGGGAGAACCTGCCAAAAGAGACAACCACACTTGTTCTGTCATGGGGCTGACGGCTTGGGCGTCCCGTGGATATCCCTTGGGGCGGTCCTGTGCTGAGGGCAACTGGAGATGAAGCAGGGTCTATCCCCAGACAGTGACACTTGAGCCACAGCTTGAATGGGAGCCCCATGAGCCCTGTGGGGGGTACCATGAGGCTTCCTCCTTAAAGGACAGCTGGACTGAAGTGTGAAGGAAAAGGCAGGCAGGAGCTGGTAGGGTAGGGCCTTGGTCTGTGCTCCATTCTGGAGCCTCAGCAAAAACCCACTGGTTCTCCTGACACTTGTTTGTGGTGCCACAAAAGGGAAGGAATCTGCACTGCAGGGGAGAGGTGGGCCTGAGAGCCTGGAGGTTGGGACCCAGGATGGGAACCACAGCGCATGGGCAGGAGCGGGCACACGTAAGGAAGAGCACACTCCTGAGTTGGGGTACTAACGGGGTGTGCAAGGGCCCGAGGTGGCAGCAATGGCGGTGGGAAGGACCACAGACGGGTGGACAGAGAAATGGGGTAGGGGGAGGCCAGGATCACCCAGACCACTCTTTCAGCTGCTACTAGAGCAAGAGCACACAGGGGAGATGGTGGGGAGCGGCTCAGTCAGGGGACCGTGAACATGAGGACAGATCTGTAGGTGGATTTAGGAGGTTACCCAGGTATGCTGGGCTTCATGTGGGTGGGTGAAGGATGTCACTCACGGAGGTGTGACATCTCTACCACGATCCCCTGCTCCAGGATCCATACCTGTCCTGGGTCCCCAGGGCAAGGCCAGCCACCAGGATGTAGGTGATGAAAGCCATGGCTGTAGAAGGCAGACACACAGACACTTGTCAGAGGAGGGAAATCCTGCTTGGGCATCAGGCACCCAAACATCTGGCCCAGACACACCCCGGCAGTGGTGGGAGAGTGAAACCTGGAATGTAGAGGTCTGGAGCGTTGATGTCAAAGCGGGGGGCCACTGGGGTATCCTGCTGGTACTGCACCTCCCAGTCCTGCGGAGAGAGTTGGGTGAGTGGCAGGACCCCAGATGAGGTCCCTTCACCTTGCTTCCAGGCGGGTGCTGAGCGGTGGGTGGTGCTGACCTGGTGTAGGTAGGGAAAGACGAGCAGGCCCAGCTTCTTGCCCACGTACACGGTGTCCACGGCAAAGTAGTACTTCAGCTTGGTGACAGGGATGAAGCGGTCAATCTGGGGAGGCAAAGCTCAAGGCTGAGGCCCTGTGGCCCCTGCCTGCCCCTCACCCACTGCCCTCAGCCCAGCCTACTCACATTCTTGTCTACCAGCTCCTTGCCGTGAGCGGCCAGGCTGCTCCCATAGGCCATCGCCATGTTGGACATAGGGTCAGCCAGGAAGGCTGCCTCAGGTGGGGAGGAAGGGTTGGGGTAGCCCAGGCCACCAGATGATGGCTGGGCTCCGTAGCCCCGGCTCGGGGCTGAACTCGTGTCATCGAAAAACTGGTGGGGATCAGCCATGCCTGGCTGGGACACAGGGACCCTCCGCTTCGAGGCTGCAGAGAAAAATGGAGGGAGCTCATTAATTCTGCACAGGTTCCACCACCTGCTCCGGCCATAGCTGGGGCAAAGGTCACCAAAGTAGCCGTGGTTATGACATCAGAAGGGCTGCCATCCTGGCACCCGCTCATCTTTCTGTCCACCCCCCACTCACCTGCCATCACCACCCGTCACCTACCTACCCACCATTCACCCCCATTTTCATCTGTCTAGACAAACGATGATGGGGGTGCCGAGGAGAGCTCCACAGTCCGGATGCCCACCCTGTGTAAAATCCTGCGCTACCATTATAGACTCCTTCCACACTTGACTTCCCTTAGTCCTCACCGCTGGGCGTCTCAGTGTTCCCTAACACGCCCCAGCCTGGCACACTCTCCGGCTCTCTCCTCTCCTCCCCAAGGCCGTGCTGCATGCAGGGCGCCTCTCTCAGCAGCACCCACCAATCCCCTCCACTGGTCCACAGCACTGAGCATCAGTTGTTTCTTTCCTTCACTGTAAGGCCCCCAGGGTGGGAATGGCACCTTGTTCACAGCTGACTCCCCTGGCTCCTAGAACAGGCGTAGACCGGGCATGCACCCTATTGGACACATATGGAAAACAACGTCCAGCCAGCTCCATAGCTAGTACAGTGCACAGGGCCAGAGTCTGGTAAGTCTATTCCGTTAGCCTTGATGGAGCGCTGACCCCACGCCATGTGAACATCACAAGAGCTACGCTCATCACTCACATCACTCACAACCAGCCTGATTCAGCCGATGCTATTACCATTTTAAAATAGTTTTAATAAGTCAGAGTTGGGATTTAATATACTCCAATATAGGCTTGAGCACAAGGATTAAGAGAAAGGCACTGGGGTTGGAGAGATGGCTCAGTGGTTAAGCACACTGGCTGCTCTTCCAGAGAAAGGCACTGGGGCTGGAGAGATGGCTCAGTGGTTAAGCACACTAGCTGCTCTTCCAGAGAAAGGCACTGGGGCTGGAGAGATGGCTCAGTGGTTAAGCACACTAGCTGCTCTTCCAGAGAAAGGCACTGGGGTTGGAGAGATGGCTCAGTGGTTAAGCACACTGGCTGCTCTTTCAGAGGACTGGAATTCAATTCCCAACACCCACACGGCAGAACTAAACTGTCTGTAACTCCATTTCAGGACACCCTCACACAGACATACATGCAGGCAAAATGCCAGTGAACATGAAATAAAAATAAATTAGAGAGAGAGAGAAAGAAAGGCACTTAGAAAGAAAGAGAAGATACACCGAGTATAGGTGTGGGCTTCTCTAAGAATCACGGAAAGTAAAATGGACCCAGGAGATGCTATAGGCTTTTCAAGGCAGCTTGCT